CCCTTTTGACCTTGGAGTTTGACCTACAATTAAAAAACTTTAACCTTGTAAATAACTTTTAAACAGTTGGTGCTAGGGCTTTCATACTTCACATGTGTATTTGTTGTGACAAGACCTTTCTTTGGATACCAACAATTTTGACCCTTTGACCTACTTTTGAGAAAAAATTAACCTTGACCATAACTTTCAAACAGTTGATGCTAGGGATTTCATATTTCACGCACATATATTTCATATGTGACAAGACCTTCCCTTGGACACCATTTGACCTTGACCTTTACGTTTTACTTATTTTTGAAAAACTTTAACCTTCCCCATAACTTTTCAACGCTTGGTGCTAGGGCTTTAATTAATTCACAGGTATATTCCTCTAGACAAGACCTTTCTCCGAGTACCAACATTTTTTATATCTTGACTTGGAGTTTGACTTGCATTTGAAAAACTTAAACCTGCGCCATAAACTGCCCTACGTGAGCATCAGTGTTTCACAAACACATCTTGTTTACCCAGAAAGACCAGCGGGGCACAATGTAAACAAACCAGAGTGACATACCTTCCTTTCTTATATTGTGAGGTGGGGTATTTTTGTATAGAATGGTTATTTTGCATTTCTTCCCGATTTTTTTTCTATTGAATACATGATAAATAAGTGTAATAAACACAATTTGTGAAGAAATGTCCAACAAGGCCCGCGGTTGAATATTTGGAGCTGGGGTTCCTGTCCACAAGTACCTGTCTTCCATTTATATGTCGACTCGATATATCTTAGTGAACTTGAAATAAAAACACCTCAGAGTCTGCCACATATGTTTCATATTTAGATGTTTTACTGACTATAGATGATAAGGACCAATTAACAACTAAATTGTATGACAAACGAAATGTCCTCTGCTTTTCCACCATCATCTTTATTTTTGTTGTAATATTCCGCTATCACCTGCATATGGTGTTAACGTCTCCCAGCTTATTCGATACTCGAAAGCCTGCTCTGAGTGCGATCAATATATAAACCGAGGCAGGCTAATGACAGACAAGTTGACGTTACAGGGATTTCAACAACCTCGTTTAAAATCAGCATTTCGCAAATTCTATGGTCTTTATAATGACCTTATTAGCAAATATAACCTATAATTGGGCCGTATTTTGGCTGACGTGTTTCATACGGCTTTGTTTTTATACTGGATTTGACTACGAAGTATTCCGTCTACCTGATCAATACATAGGACTCACGGCGGTGTGACCGATCCAGAAGGGAAGCTTACTCATCCTAGGCATCTGATCCCATAACAGGAATTTCCGGGGGCTAGTGGTTTTATGTACTAGTCACAAATTTGTATTGTTTCAAGATTTTTTTTATCACTGTTCGTTATCTTCGCCTTTTTCATTAGGGTTAAGTGCCGTATATATAACTTGGTAAACATATGCAGTGTACATGTATTCCAAAAAGTAATTTTCTTTATCAATATGGTATACGACGATGATACATGCAAGGGAATATAGTATTAATACTTTAAAGCACATTGACCATTTCGCTTAGCCAGTTATGTAAACTTATTCGTATATATGTGACATTCTGATATTTTTTTTTACGATGTGGTATTTTTCACTTATCTGAAAATATAAGCTGCACTAAGTTTATAAGTAATATGCATGATCCCATTCAAGCATATCTGAATCACGCAAGTTCCATGTCATGACGTCATCAACAACAGAATATCTCAACAAATTAACAAAGAATAAATGCAAGAAAAAGACAACCTTCTGCAATGTGTTGCTGATTATCATATATTATCAATATACACCAAGTAGAGATTCAAGAGTTGTTCTTTCTATAGTGTGTGGTTATTGCAATACTTAAATCGATAGCAACAGATGGCTCTATTCTGCCTAAGGAAGCTGATCGCTCGGGAATACAGGTAAGTATTTTTTTTTTTTTTACTTATATTCATTATACTTTCCCTTTATGAATCAAATTTCATACAACATCATTTGATTAGAAAGCTGATTTTTATTTTTAATATAGATATCGATTTTTCAATGCCGGAATAGCCTAACTTAAATGATTCTGTCTGAATAAATCATTACAAACGTCCCGATGCCTTACAACAGCATGTTATCAAGAATACATCTACCTTTTGACTTTAATTTGGCAGTCGGAATTTACTCGTAAAACGAAGAGGGGTTACAGTGTGCATCTTAATTTAAGGACAATCAGCTGATTTACCGAAATTCAAATATCTGGCAGTGTTCCTATCCCTAAACTAATTGAGACCTTCTTTTAAATTTTGAAATTGTAGTTTTTAATTTAGAGTATATACAATAATTTATATACACCGTCAAAATATGTACGAATATTAAGTACACTTTATATTATTTAGAACCTTTAATCGTCAGTGTACGTAGGATTTTTTTTTTTTTTTTTGGTCTCCCTTTCGTGTTTAAATAACTTTTCACTTGAAGAACAAAAGGCAATATACGACTGCAAATAGATCGTTTTTATAAATCTTTTGTCAAAGACGATTATCAATATTGCGTGACGAAAATTCAATCTGCTAAAAATCGTTTTATTCCCACTACTGCACAAGGTAAGGCCGTTTGTTTATATTGGTGTGGCATTTTTCTTTGCAGTAAAAAAATTGCTATTAGGTTTTATGGTTTTGGTCTCAGAATTGCACAAGTTAGTAAACGGGTTAAAGAATTTACACATAAATACAGGTATTATTCTATTAACAAGTCCCGGAAGTTGCTTTACAATCATAAGCAAAATGCAGTATAGGCGACGTATTCATACCCTTCTATGGAAATAGACTCGCATAAAAAAGTATTAATTTGAATTACTAAATATTAATTAAAGAGTTGTAAACAATCCAAGTAACATAGCTGACACATGCCTTAATTGGACGCTTTTTAGAAAACGGCTCGTGTTATAAACAAATTTACTTATTCATCTCCTTTAAGTTTTGAAATAAATATATCAATTAATAGAATTAAATAAATTAGTTTTTTTTAATAAACTAAGATATGCAGGTGCTTGCAGACCATTTTATTACTTATTTACAACTTCAATAGTCATCTATATGAAATATTGAGGAAAGCAACAAACAATTGAAGTTGGGGGTCCAGTCATTTTAAAGACAGATTACTATATATGTCTATATTTTAACAATGAAAGCGGACCCCACCCCCTTCCGCCTTGGGCTCTATCTGCCATACGGATTCGCGATTTTGATGGAACTTGGCACGAATCTGCAATTATTTTTTGTTTGTTATTTCAAAAAATGACAGCAATTGCACAACTTTCGGTGACAATTTGATGAATAACACTATTCTACAACTGACTTCTGTATGACAGTACACTTTAATTTGACGCGTGTTCACCATTTTAACAACATTGGAATGAAAAGGTCATATACACCTTTTTTTGTTTTCCTATCAAAATTTTTAGTCTTTAATGGGATTTTCCGAGCATTTTGCATAGCGAACTATAACCTTAAAGGCCTACTATATTATCTTATTGATCATTGTAACAAACCAAATCGAAATACACAAGGCAAACACTTTAATAATATGCACAGAAATATTTCAATAAATAGTGACTAGGATCTACCTCAAATGTACTGAATAAAATGTATACGTCAATAAACGATGTTATTTGCACACTTGAATGTTTCCTTCCGTGCAGTGTGTGCCCCTTCAGTGCAATGCAAAAACATGATTGTGCCCCTTCAATGCAACGCACGAAATATAAATTTCTCTTTAGTGCAATGCACACATTAAGAATAATCTTTTTAAAGACGCCGTCAATTCTTGATCAATTTTGAGCAGACACAACTGTCTCACAGCTTTATATGCAATACAAAGGTAGCAGGCTTTGATGTGCCCTGTTTTTTTTCCTCTCTCTCTCTCTCTCTCCATTTCACATCGAATCAATACTTGTATAAATAAATCAACAGATAACAGACGAACATTATGAAATATATCCATGCAGAGACATAAATAACGAAAATAGAACTAATAAAATGTTATTTATGGCTCAAGAAAGACAAATAACGTGTGGCAATACCCCCCCCCCCCCCCAAAAGAAACAAAACAAAAAAAAAACAAAAAAAAAAACACAAAAACAAAACAAAAACACAAACACACACTGAACATACAAACAAAGACAAGCAAAAATTAAAGAATAAAATTTCAAAATCTGTACACCAAACCAAACTTGAGTTTGAACCCTTAATGTACAATGTAGACATGGTAGACGCGACCCTAAACCCTCGAGATTTGGCTATGGGACTTAGTATTAGGCACTTTCAACAACACATATGTCTGTACTAACTCAGACTTTGGTGTGGTACTGGCTACATGCACTACATTTCTAGTTAAAGGGGAAAAACACAAGCCATACCAAACATGTAGAAGCAAATTAAAAGGCTCAGTTTGATTACATTTTCTCATGCAAATGCCATCTACATGTATACAGCTACTGTCTAGCAGATACTTATTTGCAAAACAACCAGTATTGAATTTTTTCTCAAGATTTAATTTTCGGGTTTTTAAGCGCAAAAATTCATCCCTATAGTCGCAATACTGCATGTGCGCTATATATGTACATGTAAAATCCTTCCATCCAGAACCTATTTTTTTTTCTTTCGGGTCAATGTCGTCTTTGCATTATTGATATTGTTAGTTTTCTGAAAATAGAACAAGTAATTCTGAAGCCCATTATTGTCGCTTAGCCAATTTCCCAACCTTCATCTGTACCTTTAAAAGTCGTAAAAGATCATTAAATTATTTACTGGAGATCGTTCTTTGTGGCGATTTAGGAAAACTGATTACTGTATAGAACCCTTAAACCATGGATTCATAACACCAATGTAAAAGGTGCTTGAACTGTTTCAAAATCCCTGAAGTCGCTGCAATATGTAAGCACTACTTTATACTTCAGCTCCTGTAGATAAAGAAAACAAAACAGATCACTGCTTTCAATATTGCACTAATCAAATTTACATGGCGTGTAAACAACCTCTCTACAAAATTAAAAACAATGATGGATCCACACGGGATACAAACTAGATCTAAAATACCCCGTAAAGTGCTAATATACTGTTCCTGCTTTGTATTTTCAGATGCATCAAGCTAGTTAAAGTCCCCTGTGCCTATGTACCACAATGAACTATCATGCCTCAATCAAATGGCGCATTAATTCAACCAGCCAATTATTGTGATGAAGCAGCGAATTAGATTGTTCAACAAGGATGAATTATTGTATCATTGTGAGTGATGTTATACCCTTTGTGGGGTAAGATGCAGTGAAATTCCCTTGATTTTATACGAAAAACATGGAATTGTTGTATTTATAAGAAAATGGAATTTAATTACATTCAAGAAATGAAAATTGAAAAAATGGTTACTTTCTGTGCACGACTCGAAACCTGACATTTCTCAGAAATCAATAGCAGGTATTATCTTAGCACAGAATTGACATTATGCATTTTCTATTGCGATCAATTGTTATGATCTGTTTGAATGCACAAATTTTTGAATGTCACTCTTTTGCAGAAAATTGATGTAACATGGCGACTACGTTATCGAAGGATTTCGCTGCAATATTTTCCATCGTTTTCTTTGGCGGGTTATTTCTTTTCATCTGTATAATTTCCGCAATTAAAGCGGTCAGGTATGGTAGACTCTTTACTCAATACAAATGCATATTGTGATAACTACAGAAATGGATCACACTTTTATACGTGTTGTCTGGATTTTTTTTCTTCCAGAGACCGTAAGAAAATTAAGAAATTCATAAAAGCTAAGGAGGAGGCAATGAGAGCTGTACGGTTAAAAAGACAAGCTTATGTGAACATGGGTCAGATTGAAGAATCGCCAAAGCATGTGAATTACGTCATATACAACACAAACACAGGGAACGGCCCGTCTGCAAATCATAACTCCGCACCTGTTAATGGTGGTTTGATTGTTCAAAGTGAATACTCAAATGCAATTCAGAACAATAAGAAGACTTCGCCAAATAATGAGGATGCATCAAACTTACAGTACCATTGTGATGGATATTCTCCACGAGACTCTGTATACTCCATAGACACCTCATTACGTCATATTGCTTCCATGGAAAGCCTTACTGATGACGTAATGAAGTCGATTAACAAACGTGATCTCCAGAAACTAAAACAGGAAAAGAATTCAAAAAATGACAATTTACAGCAATCTTGTCCTCAAAGTACTTACAGTTCTTCTCCTAGTAGTGCTAACTTGAAATTACCAGAAGATTACGTCACTGCTACAAAAACATTACGTCGTTATTCCTATCAAGTGGCATGCGCAGAATCAACACTTGAAAAAACCCAGCCACAGTTCGCCAAGTCAGAGGCTATCATAAAAGCATACAAAAGTAACAATATTGCGTTTGAAAATGTTGCCTTTAATAGTGATAGGAATCCTTAACACTGACCATTTATACTTTTGAATATACATCACCGTAAATCCATGACATTGCAATGAAAACACTTGCTTGTCGACTCAGCAGTAAAATACAACTATTCATTTAAGGCTATAAGTATTTTTGTTCTATCCTTTTTTAATTACATTTAGTGTTTACACAGTATCAGCTTTATACTTGTGAAGAAAAACTCAATACTGTTTTTATGTAATACCAATACATGAATCGGTTCATTGTACTGTTTCAATGCAACACCAAATACAGGTAGACCATAAAAATGTCTTACAATTGTTCAATAGTAGCATTGTAAAACTGGCTTTCCTGATAGATATTGTAAAATTTTAATTGCATATCATATGCAAAAATCCATACTTCAACAATACCTATGCATGTCTGACAGAACTTGACATGCAAAAAAAAAAAAAAATCATTAATGGCCATTTTGTGCTTGATTTACCATCATGTATTGATTGCACATGTTTTATATAAAAATTTTCAAATAATAAATAGGATATAAAACTATAGAAGAGAGATTTCCATTGTTAATCTTTAGAGAAAGCGAAGCCTGCCAGCTTGGGGTTAACCTTTCTGGAGGGAGTATCGTCCTCTTCTCGTTTCCTCTTCTTGTTATCACCTTCTTTTGATTTCTGGATCCATACCTGAAACAAGCATCAAGTGTACATTATAAGGAGACATTGACCTGAGCTGAATGGGAATTATATTTTACAAATGCTTGATCATCTTGTCCTTATGTCCAATGACCATGTACAAAAATAAGCTAAAGTTTAAATTCATTGTGAATTTATATTGATTCATTTATTTTGATGTAGAGACTGCAAGTGCTTGGAATAATTTGTGACTTTTCACAGCTCTTTGACCATAACCTTGTAAACAAAACATTGTGTCCCTATAATGCTAAACTTGAATGCCATTGAAAAGGGCTACAACATTCTGAAATATGAGTTCATTCCATGTAAGGTTTAACATTGGACACAACAAAGCAGGAGCATCCCCTCGCAAGGCAGCACATAACTTTTTTTTTATGTTTCATACAAAACTCTTATCTATATTTATTTTGTTTAACTGCCAGTGATTTCTGATTTCTCTTATTCAATCTATACTACAACAGAATATTATGAAAATATCAGTAAAAATTTTGCTTTATGACTTGAGCGAAATAGAATCAAAACTACATGGGGATGCTTCTATTTTAATTTCAAAAACTGTAATCCTGTTATCTTTAAAAAAGATGTTTACAAGAATTTTCCTGGACATTCATATTTAAAACCTTGAAACCATATTGTGGCTTTTTTGCAGCCCCTCTGGCCATGATTTGAACACACATGTGAATTAACACTTAAAGTACAAGGGGATGCTTGCATAACACTTTGCTAGTCATGTACCTTATGTTTTTGAGAAGACTGAGAAGATTTTACCATATTACGGGCTATTTTAGTAAACAGCAAAACTAGCGATTCATAATATTAGCGTACTTAATTTTTAGTGATTTATGGGAAAGCCATATCTATTTTCTTATACAATATTAGTGATTGAATTATTGGTGTCAGTTACTTTTAGCGATACCAAAACAATCACTAATAATGCCAAAATTAGATGGTTGCTAAAAATTACTATTATATATGGTACTACATACTTTCATCCTCTATTGTGGCCCATACTAACTTTAATATCCCAGACACAGTATTTTCTTTTGGGAGTGGGCATGGGTAGATGGGTCTACACTCAAGAAGAAAAAAAAAATGAAGTTTTTTGTTGAACCTGTGGGTTTTGAAAGGACCGTTTTAACGATCTCACATATGTGAACTTTTCCCCAATTTTTTTCCTTTTTTACATGGATAATCCTTCATTTGCACTAACTTCAATCGATCCCCTTCACCTAAGAAAGTATTGTAACCATTCTGGTTCAAACTGGCAAAGTGCTACTGACAGGAGAAGAATATGATATGAAAAATTAAAAAGATGACACACAATACACATATGGTTGCCTTATTCACCCAGATTCCAGGTGAGCCTCACAGGCTCAAAACCTGACAAAAAAAAAACTTCCTCCTTCCACTGAGTGCAGGCACAATATGCAAACACTATATTGACCACAATTATTAACTAAACAAGGCAGACTTTTTTGGGGGGTTTAATGAAGTCATTACTATTCTTTGGAAAAAGCTTAGTGTATGATCCCTTTTATGCTTGCTGTCAGATGGGAAGTAGAGAAGTCTCAAATTAGCAGTGACAGAGAGGGGAAAACGACTGATAAAAACATCCAGAAAGGTGGATTGTTCAATTTGATATTTAATTAGAGACTTGATTTGCTAATGGGAAAGAAAGAAATTTCACACAGGATATGACAGAGCCGATCAATATAGAACTATCACTGTCAAGAACAGCTTGCTTTTTCCTATCAAAACGTTATCCCAGTGCTCCAGTGCTACTTCATCAAAGTGTCATTCAGTTACGTGTGGAAGCTGTATACACTGGACAAATGAAGGACCATGAACAGTAAAAGAGGTTTTCCATTATATATGTCATTTACTTACTACTGAATTATAAGTAATTCATATAATGAGTACATGGCAATTATAATCAGTCATATACTTACTGGCAACTGAAAATTGTGAATTAATGAAAGACACATGGTAATACATGTAGATGAGACCTGGCCATTAAAAATATTTGATTTTATGCAAATGAATGTTCTTTTCAAATGTTGTACTGTTTCTAATTATGAAATAAAGGCACAAGAAATCCAGATTGCATTTTTTTACATTTTGATTTATTACACATGACGAGAGTTTACCTACTGAACACATAAGTAAAGGTAACAACCCTCACCCCAAAGTGGTGTATGAAACAGAGGGTATATATTACTTCATTTAGTGCTTCTGTACCCAATGTCTGTCATGAAATCGGTCCATTTCTTTGAAATATAATATGACTTTACTTCTCTTGATCAATATTAAAAAAAATTACAATTATAATAAATTCCAACACATTCCTAATATTAACATTTTCTATTGCAAAGTGTAGCAAGGAACAAAATAAGAGAAAAGGTATAGGCAGTCAAGTGAATTCATCTCTTCTAATAACGTGGGAAGGAAAGTATCATTTTCAGTGCTGGTAAAGGGCTGGAAAAGCATTCAAAGGACTCTGATTTCCCTTGTGGATGAAACCGATCTCCTGTTGTAATAAAAATGGTTCAATTTTCACAAAAAAGTCAGGAATCTTAAGTGTGTTTGTAAATCTGTTTCTTCTAATGGGGCAGTAATTTTTTTTTTTATTTGGGAGTAATCAATCAATTAACTCCCCTGTATAATAATCATAATTTCTTGAAAGATTCATCTGTCTGTGTTAATGTTGTTATGACTTCCGATAGCCAAGACCTCATTTCCACATTTAAATTCAACTGAGCTATAAGCTGAAAGCGCCTTTCTGATAAAGTTTTGTCTATTGTCAGTTTGTCTGTTTTAAAACCTTTCACAGTTTCAAACAAAATTCTCATATACTATAACTAGCCTACATAATATGCAGGTACATGTATCCCCATCAGGCCCATGATGTGTATATTCAATTATCTTCAAAGTTCAATTTCCTCTGCTGTAACAACAAAGCCACAATAAGTCAAATCAATATGCAACCATCCTTGTTCACAATTCTGTCAACCTACTGTAAACCACTTTTTATTCACAAAAACTTTATTTGCACAAAATAATGCACAATAATAAGACAGTTTGCTCATGAAAATACAGTTCTCCCATATAATTGTATTATAAAAGATCAAGTAAAACAATAACCAGAATTTGTGAAAATTTTGTCTCGCTTATAAAAGCAACATTACTATTTTGTGAAAATAAGATGTCACAAAATCTTTGTGATCTAAAGTATCTAAAACTTTGTCTCCTCCACAGTGCATTACTTTTTTCCACTTCAAACCACATCTCATCTTTGTACAGATACTGTCCATGTTGCACCATCATCATGTGAACTTCAGTTTTTACTTATATACAGGTAGGGGTTAATTTTTGCAAAAAAAAAAAAAGGTTAGACAGGTGATGAGTGAATGAATCAATGTAGATGCAAATAATTTTTTTTATTTAGAATATATTCAGAATTTTGACTATTAATTTCAATTATAAAATCTAATACATAAGATTGCCTTACATTTACAATAATATATACAGCAAAACTTTCTATTCCAACATGCACTGGGAGACGCATTTTGTGTTAGAATACTAAGAATAGACAGGGTGTCAGACTGCACAGTGTAAACAACATGGAAAACAGTAAAACGGGAGTGAAAAGAAAGGTCAGATTTCACAGTGAAATGGATTGCATAGGTGTCAGATTAGACAGCTTTCACTATATTTTAAAAAATTATTTGTTGGCAGATTAATTTTTACATTTTTTTTTTTCTATACATACAACCTAATATCTAACACTTCCTTGATTTATAATCTTTCCATTAATCTGATAAAATTATTCATTTTTTTTAAGATAAAATTCTATAAAAAATACAACAGTGATAAATGAATTCCTGTAAATCCACTTCTTCAAATTAGATTAAATCTACACCAGGGGATCACTGAATTCCTGTAAATCCACTTGATCAGTGGCAATTAAATCTGCCATTTTTGATATAAACAAGGAAAAACATCATTTTAAATTTTGCTAAATAAAAAAAAAAAACTGGAGTGGTCTAACTTGTCTCATTTCACCACAACCATTCATTAAAATTTCAAGTATAACCCTTCCTTCTGCATCTTTCATCTGTGCTACAGCTTTAATATAAGAAACTCTGACAAAGTCCTGGAAAACTTCCCTGCCCTCAAAATCATGGGTTTATAATTTTATAGTAACCCCACCATTCCTATCTTAATAAACATCAATATTGATACTTTTCCACCATTTTTTTATTCTAAAGATATGGACAAAGATAAACACCTGTTACAGTACATGACTATAAAGCTACTATTGCCAAAAATATGTAAAGTACCATTCATTGTGTGTTTGTCTCATATAACAATGCAGTGTTGCATTCATTGCAAGTAACACTTCCTGTGTTAAATAGCATTTTCATGTTTGTTTATTCTTATGTTTGGGTTGTTAATATATTGTGTTCTCAATGAATACCCCAGTACATACCTGGTTTGAACTTGATTCCAGCCATTTGATTTTTCTGTGCGTGTTGTTAGCATATGTTTTCGGTGAATAAGATTCTTAAACAGTGCAGTGAAAGATTCATCTGTCTGTGTTAATGTTGTTATGACTTCCGATAGCCAAGACCTCATTTCCACATTTAAATTCAACTGAGCTATAAGCTGAAAGCGCCTTTCTGATAAAGTTTTGTCTATTGTCAGTTTGTCTGTTTTAAAACTTTTCACAGTTTCAAACAAAATTCTCATATACTATAACTAGCCTACATAATATGCAGGTACATGTATCCCCATCAGGCCCATGATGTGTATATTCAATCATCTTCAAAGTTCAATTTCCTCTGCTGTAACAACAAAGCCACAATAAGTCAAATCAATATGCAACCATCCTTGTTCACAATTCTGTCAACCTACTGTAAACCACTTTTTATTCACAAAAACTTTATTTGCACAAAATAATGCACAATAATAAGACAGTTTGCTCATGAAAA